CCTTGGGTTTCTTCTTGTGTTTCGTGGTCTTTCCTGACTAGTCGGGCCCTGAGCTGATCTATATGTCTCTTCCAATTTTGACCGTCCTCTGTTTCTAACCTGTAGGATAGGGGCCCTGTGATCTGGATTATCTTTGCTGGGATCCATAAGGGGTTTCCACTGAAATTTTTAGCGTATACCTTATCCCCTACCAGGAACTGTCTAGTTTTGTTGGTCGAATCGACTGGTTTCTCTGTGCTGTAATGGGGGTGCAGTCTATCTAGATGGGATTGTAGCTTTCTTCCCATTAGCAGTTCTGCGGGGCTTCTGTGTGTGGTGGCACCTGGTATAATGTGTTGTATGCTCAGTAGCTTATCTATCCTTGCTTGTATGTCCCCTGGTCCCAGTCTGGCTAAGGCTTCCTTCATTGTTCTCACCATCCTTTCAACCAATCCATTCGTGGACGGTTTCCCTGGCGCAGATAACACATGTCGGGTGCCCTGGCTGGCTAAAAACATTTCAAACTGGTTAGCCGTGAACTGGGGTCCGTTGTCCGAAACTATCAGGTCGGGTAGTCCGTGTGTTGCAAACAGTCTCCGCAAAACCCTGATGACCGCCTCCGATGTTGTTGATGTCATTAATTGTACCTCTAACCATTTCGAATAGGCATCAACTATGATCAGGAACATGTTCCCCTGGCATGGCCTGGCAAAATCTATGTGTATCCGGGACCACGGTGTCCCGGGGTTCTCCCAGTCATGTGTGGGCGCGGCGTGTGGTGCTGGCCGGGATTCCTGGCACAGTGTGCAAGTTGATACCCAGGCAAAGTACCCGCTGTACTGTACTAATACTCTGCCCGAAGTTAAAAGTCGCTTTATTTGTTCAAATGCGTTCTTTTCCGTCTTCCCCCATGTCCACTCCATCCTCTTATCCAGTAGCCGGTGCAGGGGCTCAGCAACCATGGCTTTCTGCGGCAGGAAAATATTGTAGAAGTTCAATAACCCCAGAAACGCCTGCAATTCTGTTTTGTTTGTTGGGGTTGGAGCTTTCTGATGGCTTTTAATTTTCCTAGGGTGGGTCGTATTCCTGCCCCATCGATTAAGTACCCCAGGAATTCAACTTTTGTTTTGGCTAGCTGACACTTGTCCCTTTTCACCTTCAGCCCCACTTCCTGGAACCGGGTCAGCACTGCCCTTAACCGTTGCTGTAACTGCTCCCAATCTTTGGCTGAGATTAATACGTCGTCAAAATAGGGGACGACTCCTTCAATTCCCTGAAGCAAATGTTCCATGAGACTTTGAAAAAGTCCTGGAGCTACGCTTACTCCAAACTGCAGACGCTTGCACTTGAACGCCCCCCGGTGTGTGACTATTGTCTGTGCTTCTGCTGTGGCATCGTCTACGGGTAATTGTTGGTATGCCTGGGCCAAATCCAGCTTCGCAAATATTTTCTCTTGCCCCAGGGAGTGTAAAAGATGCTGTACCACGGGTACTGGGAAGGCGCTCTGCTGCAATGCCCTATTTAGGGTGCTCTTATAGTCTCCGCAGAGGCGCACTGACCCATCTGGCTTTGTGGGGGTGACAATGGGTGTTTCCCACTTAGCATGGTCCGTTGGCTCCAGTACCCCTTGGGCAATGAGTTTGTCCAGTTGCTCGTCTATCTTGGGCTGTAGAGCAAAAGGAACCCTCCTGGGTTTAATTCTGACAGGGACTACCTGGGGATCTAAGTTGAATGATATTGGGGACCCCGTGTACTTGCCTAATTGGCCATCAAAGACATCCGCGAACTCTCTCATCAGCTCCTCTTCCCAGCCGTCGTCTTCAATCCAATCGACTCCAGTTACTGCTAGTCCCAAAGGCTCGAACCACTCCAGACCTAATAGGCTGGGTCTGTCCCGGTCCACTATGGTGAGAGGCAGTTTCCCTCGGAAGTCTTTGAATCTCACGTTGAACTGTCCAATGCCCAGCACTGGAATCCAGTTGCCTTGGTAATCTTTCAGCGTGATTCTTTGATGTTTGAGTGTGCCGGTCGTGAGGCTAGGAATTAATTGCTTTATGGTTGCCCAGGATACCATGGAGAGGCATGACCCTGAGTCGACTTCCATTTTGCAGGGTCTCCCCTCGATGTAAACGGTCGCCGCCATCTTCTTGGACTTTCCCGTGCTCGCGTGTCCGACTATTATTGTCTGATGGGTCTCCCCTCTCTCCGATCCGTAGTCCTCGCTCCTGCGGCCTCTTCCAAACGGCTGTTTTTGGGCTCCTGTTTGGAATTGTCTGGCTCGTGGTTGAGGGCTGGTTTGTCTGGTCCTGCGTGAGGCTGGCTGGCATGCCCTGCAGGCTCTTGCTATGTGCCCTTTACAATCGTACCTCTGGCAGATTGCGTCTCGGAACCTGTACTCCGATCTTGGGTGATTCCCTTCGCAGCCTGCACACCGCAGTTCCTTCTTTCCTTTTCCTTGGTTCTTCTCTTTTCGGTCTGAGCGGAGGTGATGGACTTCATCTCCCTCGTCTTTCTCCAATTCGGTCTCTACCTCCTCGTAGTGGATGGTGGCTTCTTCCTTCCCTTGCGGCCCCTTGTTCATTTTTTTCATGGCAGCTGCAGATTTTTGGGACGCCTCAGTCGCCATTGCTTCTTCCAAAGCCTCTTGAAATGTTATTTTGGGCCTTGTAAGTAAACGGCTTTATAATGTGAGGTCCCTCAGGCCCAATACGAGACGGTGCCTCATAGCTTTGTCCATATTTAGGAATTCGCAAGCGGTGGCTATCTCATGCAATGTTGCCACGAACTTGCTTATCGATTCCCCCTCTTTCTGGTCCCTCCGGTAGAATTTGTGTCTTCTTACCAGGGATGAAGCTTGTGGTGCATAGTGGGCTCTCAGGATGTTCTGCAGGGTCGGCCAGGTCATTGTTCTCAGCTCTGCCGGTGATGCTAGCACTTTTGCCACCTTAAAAACGGCGGCTCCACAGTGGGTGAGGAAGAGTGCCCTCTTCCTCTGTTCCGATAAGCTCAGCAAGTCGTTCGCTTCGAGGAACATGTGGAATCTCTCCATGTACGATTCCCAGTCTTCTTCAGCGGGTTGAACGGTGCGGGTGGCATGATCGAAGACATCTTCTGGCCATTGCTTCTGATGGCCGGTGATTGCTTTGAGGAGCTTTAGTGACTTAGTGTCCGATTATCCTCCTGAGATCCCACCTTCGTTGCCAGTGCAATATAGTGGGCACAGAAAGGACACAGACAGTGACTTCAGTAACAGCTCTTTATTAGCTCCAGTACAGCAATGGTTTGCCTAGCCACGGCAGCCCCTTTTAAAGGGAGCTGTCCGCGGCTTCAGCCATTGACGTTCTTCTAAATCTCCCGCTTCTTTTACTTAATTCTAATTGGTCCGTTTGAATGGTCATTAAATACTCAACAACTATGGTCAGGGCTGGCTCAGGATGTGTCACTTGAGGCAAAGCAAAAAACTCTGTCCTTCCCAATTCCGCACATAGAAGCCAATCCAAATGATGGTTGACTATTATTTCAGATTGGTGATAGTCCAGCATGCTCTACCATATCTGAGAATAACAATGGCAATTTGGAGATATATAACAGATTGCAATATGCCTATGGCTCAGACTTCGGCTTCTCCTGTCTGAAGCAAGTGCCTGACTTTGTCTAATGACAGGATCAAGTCTATCCATGAAGCAACACTTTCTTATTGATCACCCATAAATTGTCACAATTGGCAGACAGTCTATTATATAAATTGTGTGCATAAATTTCTTGGTTTCGATCCCAGTGTTAATTTAGCCTTTAAGAAAAATACATATAAAGATCTTGGAGACTTGCATTCAATCAGTACAAAGTGACCTAGATGGACTAACAGAATTATAGAACTGTAGAGTTGGATGGGATTATAAGGATCATCTAGGCCAGCCCTCTGCAGGGCTCAGGAGAATCAATTAATCCATGAAGTTGTTTGTCTAGTCTCTTCTTAAATACTTTGAGATATGGACCACCCACAATTTCCTTAGGTAGACTTCTGTTGTACAGAGCTTACTGTCAGGAAAATTTCCCTTATATTTAAATGAAATTTTGATAGCTAGCTGCAGCTTGTATCTGTTAAAGCTACATACAGTATTATTTCCTGTAATATAAGCGGTATGCCTTTCCATAGCATTTTTGCTGTTGCATTCTTGTCCTGGTGACCATTAGCCTCTGGTTAAGCAATTTTAAGTCTGAACTCACATGACTCTTCTTGTATGCTTATGGTCGAGCTGAGCATATGTTTTTATTTTACATTTATGCTTTTATACTATATGCAAAAATAAAAGTTCCTGGCATCTTCATTTTAAAAATTCTTTCTAATAGCGGTACTAAGTTTACTAACTGGAAAGTAACTGCCAGACTGAATAGGCAATAGTGTGACAGAGAGACCAATAGTTTGCTCGGTATATGCATATGTTATAGATTAAATTGGATTGTCTACTCACATTAAATTTCTCCATATTTGAACCATCTTCCTAATTATTATTCTATGAAAGGATTGACTCTTTACTCCTAAACATTTGTTCTCAGGCTACATTGCCCAATCCAATATATAGATTTCTCATAATCTCAACACAGATCTATCTTGGGTGACATACATATGTAGTCCAACATATCTGGAGATTGGCAAGACCACTCTAGGATATCTAATACTGTACAGTGTTTTGCCTGAGAGACATCTCATAATGTTCCCACACTATTAGTATAGCACATTGTCTTCTGGGGTTATGTGAGAACTTTATTTTAAATACATATTGATGAATCAAGTCTATGTTATATTCAGAATGCAAATCAGCCTGCAGACAAATGACTGTGGCTTAACTTCTCGGTGGATCAGAATTGCTAAAAGAAGCTGAATCATTCTTGCCAGATGGATTGTACCTTATCTTGGAGACTATGTTTGATTCATAGAAAGTGACTAACACATGCTGTTGGTTCATGAAAACTTACATTTAGGAAGGAATTCAAAATTATGGATGTGTGAATCAGTAAAAATCCTATCCAGTTTATTGCCTGAGTTACTGACCACAATTGCAGTTTGATAAAAGTTTTTTTTTTTTTTTGCAATCTTTGCAGGTTTTCCCGACAACTTTCCCCAAATTTAAATATTACTAATAATGGTTCAAGAATTTGGAAATGGAAATATTCTAGATGAAGACAATGGAAAACTACTCCCATACTGTTGATAAGACTGTTGGTAAGAAAATTAAATGTAATTATTTAATGTATGTGTCCAGTTATTTTCCAGGAGTATCTTTACCTTTTTATTGCACTAGTACACTATTTTCAACAATATATTTTCTTTTCAAAATTGCATTTTGTTTTTGCAGATTCCAGGAAAAAACTAAATGTTAGCTAAATTTTAAAAATATTTTTAATAGTTCATACTGCTATGCAGCAGGGTGAAATGGAACATTCAACTTTGTAGATTTACCCTTATTCAGAATCAGTATTGTAGACATACGCTTCTAAATTCACTTGGGTAAAAAATACTTATTGGGCAACCAGCTGATGGAATTAAGTTTAAATGTTGAACATTATGAATGTGAAACAAGACATTAATATGATGTAAATACTTCTTATCTTGACATGTATACATGTACTTTATAGCAAGGGTGTGAAACTGGAGACCCATGGACTGGATGCGTCACGCGCAGGCCACGCCCACCCCAGCTTTTCGAATGGGGAATACGTTGCAAAAAATCATGGCAATGTGACATGGTGAGTTTGACACCCATACATACTTTATAGTAATGTTAAGGTTTTTCACTACTAAGTCCCTATTAGTTAATTTCTTGTTTATCTGGTTTCCATTTATTTCAGCTTCCCCTATGTTGAATTTTAGATTATAATATATCCTCAGGGATATATTTCCTGCAAGTTGTTTGCACACTGATGACATGGAACAGAGAAATAGATAGGCAAGTAGGTAAACTGGTAGGCCAGATGATCAAAAGTCAATTTATGTTGGAATTCCAAAAATTACTTCTTCAGATTCTTGATTCCTTCCTAAATTAATTATTATTATTATTATTATTTATTCAATTTATATACTGCCTTTCTCCTATTGGACTCAGGGCGGTGCACAGCCAAGGATAAAAAACATACCAATACAAAATTTAAAATCAATTAAAAGAATTATACAGCTTTGGCCCACAATTTAAAACAATCCAATTAAAACCCAATTTACACTTAAAAAGCTAAAAAGCTAAAAAGAGCTAAAAAAGGTGGCTTTGAAAAGATCAATCATTGCATGATTAAATATTACTGGGTGAATAGAAATTAAGGTAATATCTGCATCTATATTTACATATACCTCACCCCTGCCTCTCTAGCACTGCTCTTTACCAGTCTTATACACAGGGCCGGATTTTCCTATAGGCTAACTAGGCTTCAGCCTAGGGCCTCAAGATCAAGAGGGGCCTACACAGTGGTGGGATTCTGGGGGCGGGGGGGGGCGGGGGAGCCAGCAATTTAACAAAGGGTTCGGTGGTTTTTTTTGTAATTTTATTGGCCCACGGAGCTTCAGCATAGGCTAATTGGCCTCCCGGCTCTCAGCTGATTTGTCTCCGCTGTTTTGCTCAGGGCTCTTCTGCTTCCTTGCAAAGAAACGAAACTGAAACTGCTTTGCTGTTGCTGCAAGGTTGGAAAATTAGGCAGGCAGAATTCTTTTCTTTTTCCTCACCAAAAAAGGTACGTGCAAACAATGGGAAATTTAGGGAAAAAGAGGAGAGTTCAGGATTTTAAAACACAAAAGAAAAAAAGCTCTATTTAACTAGGGAATTGTAATAATTGAGATACTATTAATTGTATATTGTGTTGAAAGCAGAAATGGTTAAGTTGTGGTTTGGAGGAATATATGGGGGAAATTATTTGGTTTATTATTATTGGTAAATATAATTAATTGATTTGTAAGAAATTGGATTGCATGGAAATAATTGGAATATTCATGTTCATATTGATTAATATACAAAAAAGGTAGTTATATAACTAATTGATTTATATTAAAATGTTGAATTTATATTAAACAACTAATATTACATAATTAACCAATGTGAGGATGGATATAAAAATAGATGACAATGGGAAGGGGTATAATATAGAATAGAAGGGAAAAATTGAATTTGATTAAGATTAGAGATGAGGATGAAGGGTAATATTGGTTTTTTACAAAAATAGATGAGGAATAAATATGGCAAAAAGGAAATATAGAAATTGTAAATTTAATTGAAATGACTAAACACTGTTTAAATTTGTGAACCGGCCAAATACTCTGTTCAAAGAAAATACATTGTATGTTTGTATATGTGTTTCTAATTATTGTTATTTATTCATATTTGTTCTCTTTTATTCTTTAAAGTTTAACAATTCATTCTTTATCTTAATATCTTTATATTTGTTTGGGGTTGGCTTTCTTCCCTTTCATCTTTTTTATTGTACAGCAATCTTTCTCCTCAAACCTACCACCTCTCTCTTTTCTTTCCTTCTTACTTTCTCTTCCTCCCCCTCTTCTTCTCCTCCCTACTTCCTCTTCCTTTCTCCTTCTCCTCCTCTCTTCCTCCCTCTCTTACCCTCACTCCTACTCTAATTTCCCTTCCCTTCCTTCATCCCTCTCTATTGCTGTATCCTTTTATGCATATGGACTACTCAGAGGGCTGAAAAAGTTATTTCTGACTGGTCCTCGCACTTTTGACCAGTCCTCGAACTTATGACTGTCCTCACATTTTACGTTTTTGCCCTATCTTGTCACCATGGTGAAGAGAAGCAGTTGTGAAATGAGTGACATGGTTGTTAAGAAAGCTGCACGGGCATAAATGTGAGGATGGTCATAAGTGTGAGGACCGGTCAAAAGTGCGAGGCCCAGTCAGAAATGACTTTTTTCAGCCCTCTGAGTAGTCCCTATGCACATAGCCACGCCCACCCGGTCACATGATGAGCTACCCACGCCTACACAGTCATGTGACCAGCTAGCAACGCCCACCCAGTCACATGATTGCCAAGCCACACCCCCAACTAAGCCACGCCCACAGAACCTGTGGGCCAAAGGGCCTCATAAGTGGAATAGCCTAGGGCCTCTTTTCATCTAAATCCGGCCCTGCTTATACAGTTGGAATAACAGACCTTGTTTTTGATCTTCCGCCTTACTCTCTTCAGGGCTTTCTCTTCTGCTTTAGTCAAAGGAAGCTTGGTTGGGATGGGATAGCCCTCAGCAATCAGGGTGCGCTTTTCCTCCTCAGTTAGGAGCAGGGGCCCCGAAGTCCCTTGTAGTTTCTGGAACAAGAGCAAGAGCAAACCAAGATATACATTATAATCTTACCCCAATTTTTTTGTGCAAAATAATGCATTGTCAAAGTCCTACACTGTAAGCATGAGCACAAGGGCTATCAAGGAATGAGAAAAAAAGGGAAGGGGGAAGTAAATTCTTGTATGTTCAAATACAACAATATTTAAAGAATTTCTAAAATAATATAGCATTAACATCATAACATTTTAAGCAATACTATAGTTTTCAAAGAGAGATTAGGTGGGTCTCCTGGGCCAGAGTTCTTTAACCCAGAGATATTGCCCAGCCTCTGGGACTGCAAATTTGTAGGGTTCCATCCTATCCCTCATCCTCCTCTTCCCTCCTGTAGACATGAAGGAAATAGATGTAACTTTAGCCTTATTCTGCAGTGAACCAGCACCAAAGTTACTGTCTGGAGGGACAGATGGAAAACAGCAGAAATGGGAAAACTGGGAGGGAGAAAAGCTGGCATGGAGATGGATGAGTAAAAAACTAAGATTGGAACTGCAGAAGAGGGTATCTTGTTTAGTGTTTCCTCATTCCTTCATTTAATCCGAATTAGGCTCAAGTGCCTTTCCCCCCCTATATTACAGATCTCAAGTACCCATCCAGAAACTCCATGGATTCCCTAAGTTGAGTTGGAAAAAGACAAAGCTAATTAGCATTTTGATGACAATTGATTCTAAATTTCTGAAGAAGCTTTGCTTTGAAGCATACCACAGCCTGATAAATGCCTCATGATGGCACTATTTTTATCTTTCTCATTTCTGAAATACTCTTAATTAGTAGCAAATTATGGTTCTTCCAGTGTGCGAATATTTGAAATGTTTTCACCTTTTACCCTTCTTCTAGATTCTACAATCCATTGTGAATCTTATGCTTTGAGCAAGCAGAGAAGTTATTCTTAGTCTTGTCAAGTATTCTATCTGGAGTACAGACTACCATGTCCCGCTATTGGATAATTCTCTGGCTCTTCTGTCCTCCTAACTTTCTGTTCCACTAAGGTGATTGTCAATCGCTTTTCTTCCTATGGATGTTTCATACTGAATATTGGTACCTTTACATACATGTGTTTATAGGAATCTGGGGGGTGGGGATGGGACCAAAATAGCGAAGTAGTAGATGGGATATCACAACAAAGCTGGGGCTTGCATCATAAGAATTGTCAACTTGCTGACTTGAACCCCCAGTGGACACTGCTATATGTGTTTATGTGTGTCTATAAATTAAATTCATACGTTCTATTGTAAAGCATCCATCCATTCATCCAAAAACCAAGTTTAGAATAAAAAAAAATCTCCCTTCGTCATGCATTTCTCATATATATTCTGGAGCTACTATGCTTAACAAGTAGACTATTGCTGGCTCAAAACACCATGGAAACCTTTTTTAAAAATACTCCTTTTCTTTTCCTCAGCTACTGGCTTTTCCATTGGGTGTTTTTTTTACTAATGGAACTGGTGCACCAGCTCAATTGTTTGGAAAAAGAATGTCCACCACAGTTAGAAAAACACAGCCAACTGAACTATTAGATAGCTGAGGAAAAGAAAAATGGTAATCCTTTTTAGACTATTCCAGAATTATGGATAAATAACAGAATTTGGAATCAGTTAAAGGGTCAGTATTGATTATGTGAAGCCAATGTGTAGTGTCCGCCTTGGAAAAAGCAAAGCATAACAGACAATCTGGATAGTAGCAATTGTGGTAACAAGAAAACCATACTTTGAATGCAGAGCAGAAAAATGCATCCAGAGGTTGTAGTTGAACTCGGTGAGGGTGAATATAGAGCAACAGTTTCAATTCCTGCCCTCCTAAAATGATTGCTGGATAATGGGGCAACCTGGCATGGCAGTTAAGCCTAACTCTCTTCTTACATGTGGTGCTGTGAGGAGTGGAGAAGAAGAGATTGCTGTAGAAGACCGAGCAGTGGGGCGGGCTGGGCTGGAGGGAGGCAGGGATCTTGGGCTCTGAGATCCATCACTGTCACTGCCATGGCTGCTGGGAGGTGTTGGTGGCATCTGCACCAAGTCATCTAAGTCAGAAAAATATAGAAAATGGGTTAACAACAGACAGAAGGCTGGATCATGGATAACAGCAGAAAAAAGATATTTGGTGAAAGAAGGTTAGAAATCTAACCAGTTCCAACTAGTGTGAACTGCAATCTGAGCCTTCATTTGTGAGAGGCAATATTCTTTTTGGGAAATGACAGAAATAAATCAGGAGATCCACCTTCTCCTCATTATTTGTTAACATCTCACCATCCTTACTTACCAATGGGCTTTATTTTCTTGTTTTGGTTTTATGTAAAAAAGGGCCTACTTCAACTGCCTAACTAATACGCCAGGACAAGTAGAAACTTTGAGAGAGATGGGCAGTACAGAAATGTGAAAAAAGAAATTTCTTTCAGGAAAGCATGATCAACACACCCTATTCTAGGTCCAATAGTATGTGATAGATATTGATGGCAATCTTGTATGTCCCTGTCCTCCTCCTTTTCTGTCATCTACATAACCACGTTGTCTCCACAGAGCTATCTTGTGCACTTTCTTGAAGGTGTACAGCCAAACATTTCCACTGTTGCATCTATTCTGTTCTGAATAAGTTACATCCTTCAGATGCTAGATTCCAGTCGTGGGAGTTGCCTCACAAGTCTTTTGGAACAAGTTCTACTACAACATTTGCCAAAACGTGGATTTGTTAACTGCTGGCTCTCCCACGAATCTTCTAAATTTCCTGCTGATAGAAGATGGTGCTTTTGCTAATGCTTACATTATATATAAAAAAGCCTGTTCTATTGGGATACATTGTGAGCCAAATGTTTGAGAGAGCCTAATATTTTCTGTAAATTATTGTTTGCTTATTTGAATATGAATTTCCAGTACTCAAGAAGGACATTACATTTTTAGAGTAAATAAATAAATGTGTTCATTTGGCTAAACAGATCCCTCTGTGCAGTGTTAGTGGTTGCCAAGCAGAATTCTTGATATTGTTATCTTTCTGGAAATAAAGCTAAGATCTTTTTACCAGCCACATTAAAAACTGGCAACGTTCACTGTTATCCTTCCAATGACATGCAGCCAATATCTAATCCAAAAAAGCCAGAGAAATGTGGGCTGGATTTCAAATAAGACTACTGAAACTGGGCAAGCTTTTACTGATTTCATTTAAATCTTTGTCTTAAAACTTAACAAAGTGATTATGGTTTTTGTAAGGTGCTCAGCTATTGTAGTGATAGGAAGATTCTCATTTAATTACTACAGATTTCCCCAGCCCTTTGCCTTCTAAAGAGATGATGGACTTCTGGTGGACCCAAGGAAAACTCTAACCTTTAAAAATTGCAGGAAATGTTGACTTATTAAAAAAAATAACAATCTACTAATTCTCACTCCAGAAAGCCTGGCAATTTGACAATTTTGAACCATGTTTCCATATCATACAAAGCATATACAAAAGGAGAAGGTCAAAGAGCATGAGGCAGATCTAGAAGAAGATGGAGACACACCATCAAAGACACTCTACAACAACATCAATTAACAATGGTTAAGGCTGCCAGAAGAGCAAGAGCCAGAACTTTGTGTCCCTCGATACCCAAAGCAGTAAAAGAGGAGAAGAAGGAAGAAGGAAGAGGAAGAGGAGAAAGAAGCTTTCCAACACTGCTGATCCTCAAGGTTTGCATTTCACAGACTTAGGCCAGACATAACATTGCTGAAGGGAAAGAATATGATTAAAATACATAGTTTGCACTTTAAAATTATATCCAGAAAATGGAAATTGCCCCAATCAAATTGCTATGAAAGTCAATTCTCTTAAGAATTGTTCTTGCATTCTCTCAATTAACTATTTAAAATGACAGGGCAGATACATCCTCCTATTTAAATTAGAAATTCTAATTTAATTACACTAATGCCTAATGGATAAGTTTTAAAATTTTGATAGATGCTGTTGTATTGAACTGCATTTTATTTTCTAGAAATACAGGGAAATACTACATAAAAGAAGATTAGAAGTAAATATTCACAATGCCACATACTCACAATGCCCATCACACCCTAGTTATAGTCTTTTTCAAAGAGATAGATGTTGGTGCTGGTTGCTACCTCTAAAGCCCTGCGTGGCCTTTCTCCCATAGTATCTGCTCAGCCAGTTTGATTCTGCAGGGTTGGTTCACTGTGGGTTCCTTTGATCAAACAGAGTCATCTATTGGCACCCCAGAAATGCTTCTTCTCAGTAGTGGTTCCTGCCCTCTGGAATTAGGTTTCCCCTGAGATATGGATGGCCGTCATAGCCCCCACTTTCCTCTTTTTCAGAAGAGCTATGAAGATCTGATTCTTCACTCAGGCTTTTGACTAGGGAGAGTGAGACTTCATGTCATATCATCTGGTTTGCCACAGTTGCCATCTTTTATTATTGATCTATTGATCAATTTCATCAAAATCGATATTTGATTAAAATAATGCATTAAATTTGCATGTTGCCCAACTCTCTCCCAAAGATTGATTTTAATCATTTTTAAGCTTTGATTGGTTTTATTGTAATTTTATGTTGTTTGACTGTTGTAAGTCACCCAGAGCTGTTGAGAGTTGGGCAGCATGCAAATTTAATACATTATTTTTATGGTTGGTAATACAGTCAGCCAAATGTTTTTTGCTGGCTTTGGCATTTTTATCCACTATGGTATTCCACAGTTAGCCAGATGTTTAGATTGAATTTGGCATTTTTTCCCCACCAATCCAGTCCTTCCTAAGGACCTGTTTGATGTTGTTAAAGCAGGGGTGAAATGTTCCCGGTTTGGACCAGATCGCCCGATCCGGTAGTGATGGTGGCGAGTGGTTCGGAGAATCGGTAGCAAAAATTCCTGTGCCCCCCCCCATGCCCAGCTGAGCTGCGCGATCATCAGAGGCTGTTTTTTTTACTTTTAAAAGCATTTTTTCTACAACCTCTTCGGCTGAAAAAATGCTTTTAAAAGTAAAAAAAAAAAGCCTCTGATGATCGCGCGGCTCAGCTGGGATCGTCAGACGCTTTTAAAAGCATTTTTTTCTACAACTTCTTCAGCCAAAGAGGTTGTAGAAAAAAAAATGCCTTTAAAAGCCTCTGGCGATCCCAGCTGATTTGCCTGATCGTCAGAGGCTTCTAAAAGCATTTTTTTCTGCAATCTCTTAAGGTTGTAGAAAAAATGCTTTTAAAAGTAAAAAAAAAAAGTTGGCCACGTCAACCCAGCCATACCTACAGAACCGGTAGTAACAAATTTTAGATTTCATCCCTGTATTAAAGGTATTATAGCAGGAGGTGGTTATATTATCATTATTATTTTTTTCTGGAAATTTACCCTAATAGCATAAAGGCAAGATGGTCTATAAAATAATAACAGATATGAGGTTGGAGAGCATTGAAAGCTCATTGAGTTATCCAATTTTCTCACCTGTTGGCACATTTAAAAATTGGTTCACTTCTCTAGGTTCAGCTTTGATTACAGGTTGGGTAGTCATTTCTATAGGTGCCTGTAAAACAATTGAGAAAAGTATTAAGTTGATTTCCTAAATATCTTCCTTTGAAGAATCATGGATTTTCCAGTGAGCTCACACCATTTGCAAGGACTCAAAACATTGTCCCTTGAGGAAGATGGACAGTGAAATACAAATATAAACAAACAAACAAAAAAATAAAATTGTGCTGTATCTTATCATTTGCTTCTGGGGTCAGGCTACATATATCTCTCAGGTTTATTCTGAGATAATAGGGCTCCATACAAGAATGGTGAGACCATCATCCTTCTAGAGATCACTTACACACTATTTTTTTACTATTCATCTGTATATTATAATATGTGCTTTGCTATAATCTGGTCTTTGCACCAACTGGCCTCCAGTCAGAAGAGAAAGATAAGTTGTATTACCAATTTATTACTAAATTGGTAATACAATGCACCAAAATATTCTGGTGTATCAAGAGGCATTGAATTCTGTGCCATTGCTTGAAATGTATTTCCACAGTGAGTAAGTATAACCTGTAAGTATAAACAATACATCACTGAAGGAACTCAGCAAAGTATCCATTTGTACTTTGACAATGGAACCTTGTCTGCTTTCTGTTTCTTCTCCTTAAGCATTTGCCATTTCTCCAGTCATTGGTAGCTTTGTAAACTGGGTAGCCTTTGTACACTGTCTATCCAGAGCTTGTTTTCTACTATTGAGTCATGGCAGTTTGCAGGTACATGCATATATGCTACGATGTAAAAGCTACAACTTAATTATGGCTGAACTAGCAGAGATTAAAAACTGGTGAATACCAACATGCCTAGTGATTGCAGCCACTATTATTCTAACTTTTTCCCCTAGTCCTCCTTTTTTATTAACTTGCATATTCAAGGCTGATTCCATATGGGCGTCCAAAATTGCTTGCTTGTTTCCAAAGACAATATAATAAAAAATGAGAGCATTTGGTAAAGAAAAGTGAACATCATACACATGTGATAAAGAAGTGCATTGCACAGATAGTGTTTCCATGATTGACAGTCATTTTTGCTATTATCTCCTTCCTGTCTCTAAAAAAACATATTCAGATTCAGATCTTCGATCTGTTGTAATATGCATAGGACGGTTCTGCACAAACTTTGGTGATACAGAATATCCTCTACTGTCCACTGGATTTTCTGCAGAGCTATTTAACAGCTGTTTCTGATCAAAAGAGATGAAGAGTTAATATGAAGAGTCATTAATTCCCAGCTGTACCAATGTGATCTTCTCTTACCAGCTTTCTTTTCCCACCAAATGCCAGAGATTTTTTTTTTTCATTAAACAGATATATTTCACGCTGTCTCAGACTGTAAACATAGCCTGGCAAAGGAAGTGAATATGGTTTTCAAACACACACCACATAGATCTACATTTGGAAATCCAGGGAGTTCAAAGTTAAAGCAACAGAGGAAGTTTTGTGTACAAGTTTGATTTGAATGGTGTCCTTGTTTTTCCCTCCTACTTTTATCTACAGTAAGTGAAAGGAAGATAACCTACAATTGAGTCCAAATGAATGGAGTTCTCTTATTTCACAGGAGAAAAAAGAAGGCTGTAAAATATATATGTGATCCTTTCAAAGTACACAATTAATGATTTTATCGAATTGACACATAGTTCATTTTCTATAGCCTCTAGGCCCACATCTGATCAGGCAAACCATTTAAAATTAACTCATTGGCAATGAAATTACAGTGGGAGGAAATTACTACCATATCCTTCAGGTCATACCTTGAAACACCCCACTCTAATTTATGCCATTTAAATTGAAGTTACAAGGAAACATGTTGTGTGATTTGGAAGCAAGTAACAAGGAAGGGTATTTGGCACTCCAGGTCAGAAGTTCTCAGATGCCTCTTGTTGACATTCTACACACGTTTATTGTTCCATTAGTTGTCTCAGTAAGGATGGTGAGTAAAAGGGGGAGATGTTGTAAATCCCCATTGTAAGACGCTCAGAGTAATCTAGAACTATGAGATGGGCGGCAAGCAAGCAAGCAAGCAAGCAAGCAAGCAAGCAAGCAAGCAAGCAAACAAACAAACAAATGTTGTACCATGCCTGTTAGAAGAACTCAGTATACCTCTGACCACCATTGTGAAATTGAGGGAAGAGGGAAAAGCAACAAAAAAAAGGGGGGGGGAACTGGGAAAGAATGGTTGAAAAGACATCATAAACTGAATCTGGCCCAGGCGATCTGATTTCTCATCTTGCAATATATCCTGCCCCTTTCCCAAAATTGGTATTTCCTAGCTGTGCTGGACTATACATTTCTAAATGTTGATTGGGAGCTATAAAGGATTTTGCATTGACAAGGCTGCTATGTTTTTACAGTCTATACAGTAAGTTGGTGTACCTTTAGCAGACCAACAGATGAAACGCCTTATAGGAAGATGTATAAGAAGACCAATCCAATGTGTCTAAAACAAAACTTGATTTGTTTAAACTTTGACATCTCCACTTCAGCTTCTTGAACACTATCCTGGAATTATGCTCTTTAAAAAGCATATTTGAAATATCAA